TAACCATCGAACCCCAGGGATGCTAGTCATATCACAGCTATGACTGGAGACTTTCATTTATGTGCGCTGAACCTGGGAATGTCTGAACCACCTACAGCTTATCTTCTGCATTGCTTGACCTTTTGACCTCTTTCTGATTAAAAGATCTACCCATCCATTTATTTCTTCTCTTTTAAGTAGAGGGACCTGTAATTTATTCCATTTATTTATTTTTTTAATTTGATTTATATGCCGCCCTTCTCCGGAGACTCAGGGCGGCTTACAATAGCCTTCATTCTTTTGTATATTTATACAAAGTCAGTTTATTGCCGCCACAACTGGGTCCTCAATTTACCTACCTTAGAAAGGATGGAAGGCTGAGTCAACCTTGAGCCTTGGTGAGATTCGAACCTGCAGTAATTGCAGGCATCTGGTCTTAATAACCAGCTTAATAACAGGGTGCCTTAGACCACTGTACTACCAAGGCTCTTGGTATTTATTAAACGAATTGGATATAGCTGCCCATCTCCTAAAAGTAATGTGTTGCCGTGTTGTGTGCATTCGTTCTATGTGGTCAGCACACTATGCCCTCCTCTTCTGGTGAATTCCACTCCACTTTTTCTTGCTTCCCTTCCCTACAAGAGACAACCAGCATTTTATAGCTGGTAAACATAATTACACAACATAGTTTGCTGTGATGTGGTTTGTTTGTTTTTGGTTTAAGGTGCAGTGTGCATGCAGCTTTGTGGCTTATAAATCCCAATTTATAGCAGGTGCTATGTTGTGTCTGTCATTTATTCAATAAACAGTGGTTAAATAGACAATGGTTGAAATTGTTGTTGAACTGGGCTTTTTATTACTTTCTATTTTCAGACCTTTAAGGTTTGTTTTTTTTTAAATTACACATGCATATACATAGAATGAATCTGAAGTTTGCTCATTTGCATCTTCAAATGGGTTGGATGACAGCAGATTATTTCACATATTCTACGAATCCTGGTTTGTTTAAGAATGGCTGTTGAATAAATGATTTTTCACCAAGTTCTCACAATATGCTACTCAAAGAATGTAAAAAGTGCAGCCAACAGCATCTTAAGACAGAAACCATCTTTGCATTTTGGGTAGTTTGGACCAGATTTGGAATCATAAAGAGATGACCACAGGATGGCAGCAAAGAGCTCACTTTTTCTGTATCTCGTTTCTGCCATCTACTGCTCATCTGCTTTTTACACACTCACATTTGGTGATGTAAAGGGCTGTTAATGTAACCTTGAGAAACAGGAAGCAGAACTGAAATAGAGTCAATAGTCACAGATTCAGTTACTATAACTTTATAATAAAAGTAGTATTAGCATTCATAACTTTAGTCGACTTCAAAGGGCTGAAAGGTTGGCAGTCCTTGATTTACAACTACAATTGAGCCCAAAATTTGTTGCTAAGTGAGACAATTGTTAAGTGTGTTTTGCTCCATTTCCTGCCACAGTTGTTCAGTGAGTCATTTATGAGTCAGTTGCCAAGCGTCTTAATTTTGATCATGGGATCATGGGGATGCTGTAACGGACGTAAGTGTGAAAAACAGTCATAAGTCACTTTTTTCAGTGCTGTTATAACTTCAAACAGTCACTAAATGAACTGTTGTAAGTCAAGGACTACCTATAAGAGCCGAGGTGGTGCAGTGGTTAGAGTGCAGTACTGCAGGCTACTTCTGCTGACTGCCGGCTGCCTGCAGTTTGGCAGTTCAAATCTCACCAGGCTCAAGGTTGACTCAGTCTTCCATCCTTCCGAGGTGGGTAAAATGAGGACCCAGATTGTTGGGGGAAATATGCTGACTCTGTAAACCACTTAGAGAGGGCTGTAAAGCACTGTGAAGTGGTATATAAGTCTAAGTGCTATTGCTATTATAGTCCTACATTTGGGTGAATCTGAAGGGGCAAACCAGTGGCTTCAACCACACAGACCTTAGGATACCACTTCATCATTTAAAACTCCTTAACCCTCTCTTCTCCTGCTCATTTTTGGAGTATAGCCCTCAATCTGTTAAACCAAGCCTTTTCTGTCCCCTCAGCTGATGAAAATTGTGGAACTGTGCTAAACCATAAACCAGGGGTGTCAAACTCAAGGCCCAGGGGCTGGATCCGGCCCATGGGGTGTTTAGATCTGGCCCGCAGGGCCACCCTGGAAACAGCAAAGGACCAGCCCACGGTGCTTCTGCCAGCAAAAACAGAGCTCAGGAGGGTCACATGCAGCCCTTCCGAGCTCCGTTTTCACTGGCAGAGTGTTGCAGGAGGCCATCACAGCCCAAAACGGAGCTCAGGACCTGTTTTCGCTGGCAAAGTGCTCGGCTACCACAGGCACCCCCAACACGAGTGATGTCGAGCTGGCCATGCCCACCCTGGCCCGAAATCAAACACAAGCCTGATGTGGCCCTCAATGAAATTGAGTTTGACACCCCTGCCATAAACCATGATTTATGAGATGCAAGGACTCGGTTTGTATAATATCCCAAGTCAAAATCAAATCAACTGCCCTGTCATTGTGTTCCCTCTATAATACGCCTCTATACTAGATAATGCATGAAAGCCTTAATTTCACATTATAATTCCTGCAAACTTGTAATGGAGCCTACTCAGGAGAATTCTATAAGTAATCTCAGTTAAAACTTCAAACTTGGATAAAGGACTGTTTGTGAAGAAGGCAGTAAGGTGATGGAGGGCAGCATGGCTTTGTCGACCTGCTACAGAGATTTAACATGTCTTGCCAATACAACCTATGATTTATTGTAACGTGTGAATGCACCTCCACACTGCTAGAAAACCAATATCCAACTTCCTTGCAAACACCAAGACATACCATAATTTGTTTGTTCTTGCCTTATTAGCATGTTATGTGAACGCAGCCACTGGCATGTGTGAATTAGTTTATAGCTTAGCATCAGAGGTGGGTTTCAGCAGGTTCTGACCAGTTCTGGAGAACCGGTAGCGGAATTTTTGAGTAGTTTGGATAACCGGTAGTAAAAATTCTGACTGGCCCCGCCCCCATCTATTCTCTGCCGCCCAAGTCCCAGCTGATCGGGAAGAAATGGGGATTTTGCAGTAACCTTCCCCTAGATTGGGGAGGGAATGGAGATTTTACAGTATCCTTCCCTTGCCACGCCCACCAAGCCACGCCCACCAAGCCATACCATGCCCACCAAGCCACACCCACAGAACCGGTAGTAAAAAATTTTGAAACCCACCACTGCTTAGCATGTTGTCTAATCCCAGACAACTCTAGTTCCTTTAATAAGTCTTAATTAGACTTAGAGCATTGCAATGTGTAATCAAACATCAAATCCGTATCGAGGGTATTGATCACTGAAAGCGTAATGAGTATATGGCAGGATAAAATAGCTTCTGATTCTCCAGCACAGAATTTGATTCTGAACTCTGTCCCACGCACAGATGCCAAATCACTTGGCTTCTGCACAGGGAGGGCTGGAGAAATGCTGGAGCCTCTGCAGATGCCAAAATTGCATTCCCTCACACGGTCACAAACATGTTTCTCTTATGGAAATCCCACCCAATTCCACTGCAATCAATCTGTCATTTCTGTTCCTGAAGTTACAATGGGATGCGGTCCCAGCTTTATTGAAAACTTTTTGGAAACACAAAAGCAGCCAAGTTCTTTTTTGGAGATCTCTTTAGATGCCTGTTGCAATTAAGGCATTACCAGAGGTGGGTTTCAGCAGGTTTTGACCAGTTCTGGAGAACCGGTAGCGGAAATTTTGAGTAGTTAGGAGAACAGGTAGTAAAAATTCTGACTGGCCCCGCCTCCCATCTATTCTCTGCCTCCCAAGTCCCAGCTGATTGCGAGGAAATGGGAATTTTGCAGTAGCCTTCCCCTGGAGTGGGGTGGGAATGGAGATTTTACAGTATCCTTCCCCTGGAGTGGGGAGGGAATGGAGATTTTACACCTTCCTGTCACACCCACCAAGCCACGCCCATCAAGCCATGCCACGCCCCCAAGCCACACCCATAGAGTCGATATTAAAAAAAAATTGAAACCCACCACTGGGCATTACCTTCATATGCATTTTTTTTTTTGCATAGATGATTACCTAGGGTAGATTAGCCAATGCCCAGGTGACCTATATATTAGAGGTACTTATATACTGCTTCAGTGTGGCAGATTAATAGCCATAGCAATATCAGCAGGATCAACAACTGACAATGTAAGAAATAGTTAAAAAAAAAACCAATTTACAACTAAGCCCCAATTGGAAACAAACCACGTTTCTTCTGAACGAGCTCAAGTTCCCTAAGCTTTGGATGTGTAGACGTTTCCACGGTTAAAGATAAAACAGCCCCAGAGTTGGAAGGGATCTTGGAGGTCATCTAGCCCAACCCCCTGCTCACGCAGACGACCTGTACTAGGGATTCGAACCGCCGAACCGCCGACCTTTCTGATCGACAAAGCTCAGCTTTGCCTCAGCCACTGCGTCTCGTGTGAACCCAGCTGGGGTAGAAAGTTCCCTCTGATATTTCAAGCGGGAGTGTGGCCGAACGTCACTCCCTCTCCTACCCCGCGTATTTTACTCAGATAATTCAGATTTATTTTTATTTTTATTTTTATTTTATTTAAATGGTAGTAACCCTTTCCAGGCACCTCAACGGAAGGCGGGACGTAGATCAACCCAACCAACCAATCAACCGAATTGGAAGGGACCTCGGAGCTCGCCGCCAAGCCGACCCTGGTCGTTCCCCGGGGGCGGGGGGGAGGGGGGGAGCCTCCATCCGGCGCAGGGGGTCCCGCCCGCCCGGCCGGCCGGCCGTCCCTTCCAGGCGGCGCGTCCGGAGCCCGGCCCGAAGGCGGCGCGCCACCGCCGGGCTCTCCGCGGGCGTCCCCGGGCCGCCTTGGGGAGCGCAGAGGGCGGGGCGGGGCGGGCGTCGCAGCCAACCAGGCGGCGCGCGGGGCGGGCGAGCCGGCGGCCGAGGCAGCCAAGATGCGGCGCTGATCGGGCGGCCGGGGCAGCAGGTGCGTCTCCTTCAGCGCCGCGGCTCATGATGTGCCTGGAGAGCGACGGCTCGTCGGGCAGCGGCCCCCCCGGCTGCGGCGGACGCCTTCGGGTCTCGGCGGCGGCGGCGGTGGTGGCGGTGGCCGGCGACGACGACGAGGAGGAAGACGACGGCGGCGGCGGCGGCGGCGGCGGAGACCGGGGTTGTTGCGGACGGGGCGGCGAGGTGCAGACGCTCTCCGGCGCTCTCCCGGCGCCCGGCGGAGGAGGCAAGAGCGCAGCCAACGCCGAGCGGGGCTGCCAGGCGGCGCCCGCCGCGGCTCCCAGCCTGGGTAGAGCCCGCGTGGCCGCCGCCGCCATCCTCAGCATAGGCAACGTGCTCAACTACCTGGACAGGTACACCGTGGCAGGTGAGACCGTCCGGCCGCCTCCGCTCCTCGGTCTCTTCTCCCCTTTTTCGCCCGGGCGCTCTTTTTTTTCCTCACGAGCCTCGGCTTCCCTTCCCCGCCCCTGCCGGGCTGCTTGGAACCGCGCGTCTCTCTCTCCTCCGCAGACCTCCCCGCTCCCCTCCTCTCTCCTCCTTTCCTCCCCGCTTCCTTTCCCGGTGGGTGTCCGCCTGGACTGCCCTGTTCGGCGGCGGCGGCTGGTTTTAATTTCCTTCTTCCTCCGTTTGAGCCTTTTCCTTTTTCCCTTCCTCTCCCCTCCGTTCCTTCCCCCGCGGCTCCGTTTCTCCTCTTCCGATTTTTTCCCCCCTTCCTTTCGTTCCTCGCTCCCTTCCTCCCTTCCACCCCGTCTCCTCCTCTCGCTTCTCTCTCTCTTTCTCTCTCTCTCTCTCTCTCTCTTGTCCTTCTTTCTCTCGGCCGTTTGTCTCTCTTTTTTTTTTCTCGCCTTCCTCAATCTCCCTAGCGAGCACTTTGCCCGGCTTCCATCTGCGCGCTCGCTCACTCAGCTGGCTGCTGCCGCAGGGACCGCTCAGCCCTGCTGTTGTGGCGAAGGCGCAACTCTTCGCCTTGCGCTGGATACAAAGGGAAGATGCTCTGCCCGGCGCTTTGGCACCGGGGAAAGGCAGAGTACATAACAAACGATCGATGTGTGTGTGGGGGGGGGGGTTTCCTTTGACAGAAGGGGACAGGGATATATTTGGCACCCCTGGTCCCGCTGCTTCTCTTAAACCTGGAGAAAGAAAAGAACTGACCGGCTTCAGGATGATCTGGATAGGAGCTTCAGGGTTTAGCCGGCCAATGTTGCCTTCTTGCGTTGCCACAAAGAGAGAATGAATGAATGAATGAGTGTGCATAGATATATATATATATATACTGCTCAAAAAAATAAAGGGAACACAAGCAGAAGACATCCGTGATCTGAATGAATGAAATAGCCTTATTAAATACTTTGTTCTTTACATACAGTAATTTATACACTGCTCAAACAACTAAAGGGAACACAAAACTACTCTATGTAAGGAACAAAGTATTTAATAAGGCTATTTCATTCATTCAGATCTCGGATGTCTTCTGCTTGTGTTCCCTTTATTTTTTTTGAGCAGTGTATATTTGTATAGAGAAAATGTTATCTTAAAAGGGGTGTTTTTTTCCCCCTCTCCAGATCTGAGAGATGCCCATTCTAGAAAGCCTTGCTCTGTTTCTTTCCCAGTGGATGAATTGCATTGCTTAGGGCAAAAGAATGCCTCTCTCACCCACCCACCCACCCACCCCAATCCTCCTCAGCCTGCAAAAGGAGATTTTTGCACCATTGTCTTCCACGTTGTCATGAATGGTCCCTCCCCCTTCGGTTTTCCAATAATTGGGATTTGTATCAGAGGGGCAACGGAGTGATTCTCTCTACTGTTTGATGTACTTCTCTGGGTTTGTCCCTTGAAGTGTGTGTGTGTGTGTGTGTGTGTGTGTGTGTGTGTGTGTGTGTATGCACAGGCGCACGGGTCTGCCGTTGTTGTGTTGACAGAGGGAATCTAAAGGACTTATCTGAATGCTCCAAGGGTGACAAGTAAAAGCTGTTGCGAGGGAGATAAGGGCGACTTTGAAAATGGAGTGGTAGGAATTCTTGTGTATTGGCAATACCACTGGGTGCAACCAACATAAAACCAGAATTTATATTCTCCACTTCCCCTGGTGGGTTTGTTCAAAGAAGAAAAAGCATCTGCTTTTAAGCAGCCACCTCTTAGCTGCACGTGCTTGAATAGTCATCCTATGGAGATTGAGGTTCTTTATCCCCAAAGGTGTTTAAAAAGAAAGGAGTGCACAATTTCCTTGCTTTTCCCTTCTGCACATTGCAGAGGGTTGGACTAGATGGTCTTTGAAACCCCTTCTGACTTCTCTATGCAACCGGGGGGTGTGTGTGAAAGCGTTCTCTTTGAAGTGAGAAAATAGGGGAGGTTTTTTGCTTTTGGGGGTGTTGCCTCGGGAAAAAAAAACCCTATATTAAAGAAATTGCAGGGGGGAGACCTGAGTTTTGGTAGCGAAGAATTGGGAGTCTGCTACCATCTATTCCATCTAATAAATTTGCTGGAAAAAGGGGCTACCGCAGCTCCCTCTGATATGTTGAAGAGGAGCTGCGTGCATCTGTGTATGAATGAGTTTTCCCTTGATAGCTTGAACACCTTTGGAAAATGTGTTCCGTCAAAGGACACAAGAGCTTGATATATCAGTTTTAGCGCACTCAGTAGACTAAATCTATTCCTGAGCGAAGTGTAGGCCTTTTTTCTTTGTTCTAGTGGTCAGGAGGGAAAAAAAAAATTCTTATTTTCCTGCCTCACAGAAATGTGGCAAGGCGGAGTTAGGAAGATAAGGCTATAATCTGCGAGTTTGCCTCTGAATTTGGATGCCTCTAAATTCCAGGTTTTCACGGAGCCCTTTCAAAAGGACTCTTTATTATTAAAACAAGATAGTCTCGATTTAGGTGTGACAATTTCCCACAGGCCATTCAGTGGCCATTCATTGTTACAAAGGGATGGGAATCTGGGCTTCCCGTGTCTGTTGTCAAGCTGGTTGAGGATAATAGGGTTTATTAGAAGACTATATAGGTTGAGAAAAGTTGCATTGAAGTACAGATGGTCTCCGACTTAACAATCCTTCGTTTAGTAACCGTTCAAAGTTAAAACAGGACTGAAAAAGGTGACTTACGGCCATTATAGCATCCTCATGGTCACATAATCAAAATTTGGGTGCTTGGCAACCAGTGTGTATTTATGATGGTTGGAGTGTCTTGGGGGGGGGGGTCAGGTCATCATCATTTGCCACCATCCTAGCTGACCTCTGATAAGCAAAGCCAATGAAGGAAGCTGGATTTGACTGTGTGTTTCACTTAACAGCTGCAGTAATTCACTGAACTGTGGCAAAAAGGTCATAAAAATGGGTGTGACTCACTGACAAACTGCTTTGCTTTAACAACCGAAATTCTAGTCCCAATTGTAGTCGCAAATCGAGAATTACCTGCATATTGTCTTTACTAATGTTGATATAGCATTTATCTAAAGCTAAAAATCTTTTTTTCATGCCTTGCACTAAGTCACAGTACTGTAATTGTACTCACGCTTTATCTTACACTGACATAACCATTATTCCAAATCACAATAGCTGGTTTCATACACACTATACCAACTCCAGATAAAATACGCCAGACTTTAGCACCAATACTAATTCTAAACACTGAACATCTGGAATTGGGAACAGGTAGGCAATTCCTAGAGCAGCGACCCCCCCCCCCAGCACCCAAAGAATGGGGACTGCAGTTTCCAGAATCCCTAGTCAAAGTCCCAATAGGTTTAGAAAGTGGTAGGATAGAGAAGGATGCCATGTACTGAGAGCCAATGGATTTGTCATCATATTGCAAGATGCAAAGTGAGGCTTGCTGTCTCGCTCAAAGGGGCATAGACACAGTAGTGGCTTGCTGTGACATTGGAAAGATCTTCCAGTTGTGAAATTAGCAAGCCTCTAGTATCAATGTTTAGAAAATGCAAAGCCCTATTTAAGATCTATATGGAGAAAGGATGTCGGTCAGTGTGAAGCGTCATCTCTGAACCCATTGGAGATGCTGTAGAAGTTCTGGTGCCAAGAGGTTTTCAGGATCTGTATTAGAATAAACGGGCACCAGATCAGACTCAACCCAGCCAAGAGAAGTAGCTTGAGAGCAAGCCTGTAATCCTTGAGTCCTCTGAAACCACATTTCTTGTTAGACATGCAGGTGGAAGCCTGTCCCAGAGGACATTGGACCACTCCTTTCTAGCACTGATGATGGTACCTAGTTGGGTAATGAAATGTCTATAAGGAAACAACCAAACTCAGAGAGTTTGGACCCCGTGGAGCAGCTCTGTTTGGTGTGTCAGTTGTTGCCTTACTTGGAACAGGTTGGTCTGAGAATGGTTACTCATGCCCTAATCATCCCTAGTATGGATTACTGTCATTATCATTTCATGCCCTTGAAAACCACCCGAAACTTCAGCTGAGACAAAAAAGGAGAGGGCTGTGTGCTCATTGACCAATCCCATTACTGTTATGTTATACCACCACTGCAGAAGCTGCGTGGTTATGGCCTATAAAACCCTATATATCAGTGATGGTGAACCGGGATGGGAGCGTGTGAGTGCTCGGCTGGGCTGCAACCCGGAAGAGGAGTTGCCCAGGGCACATGCGCATGCCCAAAAATGAACTTCCGGTTTCTGGCCAGCTAGTCTTCCGGGTTTCTGGTGTGCATGTGCATGCGACGACCAACTAGCCGGCGCACATGCTCACGCAGGAAAACAGAAGACCAGCTCTTCCAGTTTCAGGCACTGCCGCATGCACGAAGGCCAGCTGATCGTTGTGCTTGCATGTGTGCCAGAAACCCGGAAGAGTAATGGGCAAAATAATTAAAATTTTATTTAACTAAGCTTTTGTCACCAATCTGCTGACATTGTCAGAGTATTAAACTACCATTACAGAGATCTCTGCCTTTATATGCCATTAATCAATTTGGCCCTTGCACGTGTAATAGGCCCTTCCATTACTAATATACCTGGAACTTGTATTTTTAGAATAGTTTGTAATATATATATATATCAGCTTTCCTAAATAGAATCTTTCTACCCGCCTGGGTGACAAGAGAAAACCTGCTAAAAGTTGTTCCTATTGTGAGGTGTAGTGGGAGGGAGATAAGTGGCAACCATTCATTTTGGGGGCTCTTCTCCTCCAGTAATGGTGGCCCCCACCTTTACGACATTTCTGAAAAGACTTTTGAGTCTGATTTATAGAATAATCAACACCAGTGTGCTTTTATTATTGCTTGTTGTGTTGTTACAGTCTTATTATTATTATTGCCCTGCATTGCTGTCCTGCTGCAACACACCTGTACACCAGGGGTGGGTTCTACTTACCTTTACTACCGGTTTGCAACGGGGCCACGCACATGCGCAGAA